CCCCCCCCCCCCTCCCTCCGTCCTTCTCTTCACCTCGTCCCAGTAGGCGGAAGACCGGCTCATGACGTCCTTGAGGGACTCGTGAACGGGCACCTGGCTCTCCCCGTTCTTCATGAGAAACTTGTACCTGGGATTGTTGCCGGGCCAGAGCTTGCTGGACTTGTCAATCGGGGGCGGCGGGATGTCCCACGACCGTCTCCAAATCTTCACCTGTGGTGGAAGGGAAGGAGGACGGGATGCCCAAGAAAAAAATCAGAGGGCAAGGGTCAATTGCTGTTGTAGTTGTAGAAGTTGTTGTTGCTATTGCTGTAGTTGTAGCTGTAGTTGTGGTGTAGGCGTGTTGTAGTTGCAGTAGTGTAGTCGATGTTGATGTCGTGGTCGTTGTCTTCACAATAAAAACCATACCGGCCTCTACCCAGCACCCTTCAATCCCTGTAACGGCCCAACTGGCCGCACCGCGCCTTCCAGTAGCCTCTAATTGTGCGGTACGGACGCACGCAACTGCATACACAAGCGCATCCGGCTTTTCATACCTCAAGCTTTTCTTCGACGAGAGAAACAGAAAATTCATCGCGACAGCACATGGTAAAAAGATAATAATAATAACAACAAAAAGACAACAACTTTTGCTAGTGGTGTGGTACGCACGCACGCAACTTCCTACATGGGCGCATCCGGCTTGTCGTACCTTGTGCTTTTGTTCGCCAGGAGCAAACAGAAAGCCTCACTCAGCGACAACATGTTCTTGTCAACAAAAAGAAAGAAAGGGGTGCAACACCCGTTGATTACTAGCACTATTTGTTTGTGTGTGGTACGCACCCACGCAACGCACGCACGCACCTGCTCCGCGCCGAAGCTCCGGACGCACTCCTTCTTCTCCCTGCCCACCAGGGCGCCGTAGCAGCGCTCGTTGAGGTGCCAGTCCGCCGTCACCGGTACGTGCTGCTGGTTCAGCTCGTCGAGGACCACCCAGGCTGTCTTGATGGCTCGCTTGAGCATCGAGGTGTAGACCACGTCGAACTCGAACTCCTGCGAAAGGAGGAGCTGCACGCGAGCGGGTGGGGTAGCGCGTGTGGAACATGTGTGTGCACATGTAGAGCTTGAATGGAAAGTAGTCACGTAGATAACGTCGACGGAAGGGTGTGCATACATGGGGATTGTGTATGGAAAATAGTGAAGTAACGTGCGTGGAAAGGGTGCGTGTACCTCGAGAGTTCGTGAAGTGGAAGGGTGTGTGCATGGGGAGTTCTTAAGATGGATGGGAAAATGGTCATTGTTGCCAACTCCGTATGACGAGTCTGAAACTGAAACCCGATTCGTTTTCTGTCGCGTTCACTGCTGTTCTACCCAGCTGTCTGACGAGCAAAAATACATCAAAACATGGGGCACGCATCTAGGTGAGACGGCAAGTAGTTCTGCTCGACTATTGTTTCTCAGCACCCTTTCCTCCAGCACAAACTCCTCGAAAAACAGCAGCATACTGTTTCCTTGAAAGTCTAGGCGATGCGTGCTTCTGCAGCGCGCGAAAGAATACTTGCCCCGCTGACCACTGAGATCAAAGGACTGCAAACATGTCGCTATATGTCTGAATACTCCCTGTATTTCACTCAGCACGTGCTCTTGAGTCTACCCGCACGCGAAGAGGCGGAGGGTAGGAGATGTATTGTAGTCTTCCAAAGAAATCTTGCAAAACAAAACTGTTGGATGAAGTATGCAATCGTGGGAGTTGGGGTAGGCTTAGGGAACAGGGTCTGCGTACCCCTTGCCTGTTTTCTTTCCTCATCAACCTAACGTCTCTGGCGAAGGCGGTCCGGCAGGAGGTACCCGTTACTGCACTTAAGCGTAGCTCGATTGCAAGGGTGGGATGCCCATTAAACGGACTCGGTCATGATCGAGGTCGCTACTGCTGCTGTGGGAGGAACGCAACAGCTTCCCCATCTTCCTTCCTCCAACTTAGAATGCTCGAGAGAGTGCACTGTTGCTGCCGGTGCATCGCGATGGTGGGTGTTAGGCTTGTACCGATCGAGGATTGTTTCGGCACGCAAGAATGAAATAGTACCCTCGGGGGTGACCTTCCCCCTCCATTCACGGGTTGGGTGCATGCGCCGATTCCGTTCCGCCAGCTGTGCTCTGTTTCAAACATGCCGAGGGGCGACGCCTTTTACTCAACTTTCGAACGAGAGGCGGAGAGATGGCACTCCCTCAACACCGATTTTCAAAGCTCGATTACTCCATAACCATTTTCCGACGCCAAAAATGGTGCTTGGAGTACTTGGATACAAGATCCGATCTGCAGAGTATGTGTGTGTGGGGGGTATACTATTGGGGGTCCAAGTGCCAGGCCCCTTGTGATAGCCCGCGCATGCGTATGTTTACTCGGGGAACGGGTCCGTGCTGGGAGAGCACGCGTGTGTGTTAATCAAGGTTATATATCATCGGTCCCAAGATATCCATTATACCGTGAGTGGTCACGGAGGCACATATCTACAAATACGATTAATCCGCATATCTACAAACCAATGGCGGTTTTGGAAACATCTCGGTTTCCGAAAACCTACCGGTAGGCCTGTCCTCCATCGGCCGTTTTGCTTGTATGACGGAGAATAAGAAGGTGGAATTACTTGAAATTAGTATAGAAATAAAGTTTGTGTATCTAAATCGAAAATAAAACGGCCGATGGAGGACAGGCCTACCTACCGGGCTCTTTGCGCACTCACTCAGTTGCGGAGCAATCGAGCTTTGAAAGTCGGTCTAGGGTACGGTAGTTCGGACAGCCGCGTTGCCTGTGAGCCACCGGTACTTGTTTTGAATACGCTCAAAATTAGTTGGTCTCGAGGAACAGAACGCATTATCCGGGCGCCTACCAGCGACATTGTACATGGCGATTGATTTGTGTCGAGATAGAGCTGAGATACTTGGCTCCTTCACCCAGCTTTGATGCTGTTTGCGCATGCCTACGTGGCGTTACAGCCTTGCTTGACGCCACACGGGTTTCTCGTGTCGTGTCCGATAAGCAACCGTCCGTGCAACCTCTTGACTATCACTGGTTCCCTGCTGATTCTACTTTACCAATGGGCCTGCTTCACTTTACCACGTCTCGCTCTGCATTTGATGTGGAGCAAAAGAGTCGTGTTCAAGGTGCACAACATGACTGCTGTTGTACGCATGATGGCATGCATGTATGCGTACAGCAGTACATCCTCTGACGCCAAACAAAAAAAGAAACGCAATGGTCATGAGGGGCACGCCACCACGCGGCCGCTAAAAAATCTATCGTGCTTTCCATGTTTCAAGTATTGTATCTTCCTGTCGCACGCACATCTTTCCCCATGTTGTTCCCGGTTGACGAACACTACAAAAGCCGAATACGGGCAGGTGACAACCTGGACCATGTCGAGGGGAAAAAAAAAAAACATAAAATGTGGAATGTCCAGAGTTCAGATTCAAATGGTAAGGTATCACTGGTGAATCTTCCCCGACGTTTACCTGCCCGGCAACGCGCGCTTCAATCTCCCCCTCCTCCGTCAGCTCGGCATCCGTCCACCCGATGAACCGGTTCGCCTTGTTCCAGGTGCTTTGCCCGTGCCGCAAGAACACCACTTCGTAAGTGTGCTTCTGCTGCCGGTCGACCTCCCCTGCTGCTGTCTCCAACGGCACGCTCATCATCACAGCAGTGCTGCTGTGCCGATGCCTCGTTCTTCTTGCGGATACATTCGACCGCCTTCGGGGCTGCTGTCGTTGCTGGAACCCTGCTGAGAAGGAAGAGGAGGCCAGCCCGCCCTCAGCCCCCGCCACATATCCTCCGGTTGTGCGGCTGCTGTGATCGTGACACCGCCGGCATGAAGCAGTCGAGGTCGCCGCTGCCGTTGCGACTTGTTGCTGCGGCGCGCAACGACTGCCGGGGCCGCTGCTCGGGCAAGCAACGAAGGCGGAGGCGGAACTAGCCAGCACGGCAACGGCCACGGACACCGCCCAGGGTAGAGTACGGCGGGCCATGTTTGTCGAAAGTCCTCTTATATATGTTGCAGCCAAGTCGTCAACAACACCAGCGGCGTGTATGTATGATTGCTGAAGCCAGCCTCCTGCGTAGGTAGAACTTGGGTGTCACTTCCGTGTTGGCGCTCTTATGCACCCCCCGCCCTCCAAATCGGGTAACCCACCGATATTATGGGTGCGTAGGGAGGCCTGCTTGGCGTTCAACAGACAACCGTCCCACAACCGGCTCCCTGGTGCTGCCCGCTCACTACCACCGCACGCTGCGCGTCACTGCACGTCACACGATGAATTGACAACATTTCGGAGATTTCGGAGATTTGGCACTGTAGGGGCAACGCCAATACAAGGCTGGGGGCACGTTGACGATGCCCCCCAACGAGCGCGGAGATTGTGTTGTTTGCCACTGCCCCATCCATCCGAAGGCACACTGGAACGGCTACGTGAGAGTTAGGCAGGTCAGCCATTTGTGTACGTGTGTTCTTCGTCCGCGAACTCCCGGATACTCACGACTAAGCGACTACGTTGACCGATATAATCGTAGATGGTGGTACGCAACAACCGACGGAGCTGGCTCCGTCCGCTGTGAACAACACTCGAGATGGACCACAGCAGAGGAGCTAAGGCTCTGATCCGCGGTTTCTCCTAAAACGAATATGGAGGTAGACCGCATGGCATACCTGTTCTGCTGCTGCGAATTCGATTATCGCTGGAATTGCATAGATTTATAGACGGGCAAAATGTGTGGTACCTACCATTTCGGCTGCTGTGGTGCTGTGGCTAAGTACGTGCTGTGTTGTATCGATTTCTCAATCAATCCTTGCGGTGTGGACCAGGCGTGTGTGCTGTGAGCTGTGAGACGAGGCTCAAACCAACAGCACTTTCACCTCTAATGGCATGTCATTTGTCCGGTTCCGAGCAAGATTCCCATGTCTATGCGTACATCTGCGGGCGTGAACGTAAAAACATGACGTGCTTTCCCTCCTCCTGCAGTACAGCAGCAGTACGGGCCATTCGAATGTATCAAGGTCCTGCTGAACAGGGGGGCGAGTCTATTGCCGGTGGATGACGACGATTATACGGCTCTCCTCGTCTCCGCCCAACACGGACAGCTCTCCATGACGAATTTGCTGCTAGAAGCGGGGGCACAGCACGACGCGCTAAGCTGTCAAGGCTTCACACCGCTTCACGTGGCGGCGATCGGAGGGCACTCGAGCGTCATGGAAGCGCTGATCGGGGCCGACGCAAACGCCAACAGCCGGGCGCCTAACGGGCAGACGGCGTTGCACATTGCGGTGCTAGCAGGGCACGTAGACGCCGCCAGGGTTCTCCTTGGTGCGGGAGCGAACCCCCTTCTGTCCACAAGGATGTCGTCGGGAAACACTTTTGTCCCGTTGGACGGGGCCGCGCTTAACGGGCATCTGGCGGTGGCACGCGAGCTGGTACAGCGGTTTGGGATCAGAGGTTGCGCTGGCGCGAGCGCGGGCGTAGATGCCCTCGGTCAGGCCGCCGTGGACCAGCACCTGGACGAGATGGCCCTGTTGTGCTACGCCGGAGTTTTTGGATACCGGAAACGCCCTGGTCGCCGCCGTCTTTCTCTGGCGGGTGATGGCTCTGAAGTTCCCGCTGGAACAGAAGGAGGAAGGGACTGCTCGAATGACTTACGCAAGTACCCCCCGTGACGGCAGAGGCCACATACCCTTGCTCTCGGCTGTTACCACTGGCCCCTGCTCTCCCAGAGTCGTGCGGTTGCTCGTCGACGCCGGACCGGACGCGACACTGGCTGTTCGCGTCCCGGATGGGTTTGGGCGGTCGACCAAGTACACGCCGCTAGACTGTGCAACACGCTGCCTCGCTGAAAGGGTGGTCGACGAGGACTACGCCACCGCACAGCAGCTGCGCAACCTCCGGGCCAGCCGCCGCTTACTGTTGCAAGTGGAGGCGCTTCACGCGACGTCTTGGCTGTGGGGAGGCCATGCGGGCTGTCCCGCTGCGCTGGGCAAAAAGCGAGCCCAGACGGAGTTGACGAATGGAAAGCCGCTAAAGTCGAGGTTGCCGATCATGTGGCGACGGAGTGCGAGACGTGGTGCGACCTTGCCGGGCGTGTTCAGGTGGGTTACGGGATGAAAGGTAGAGATTGGGCTAAGATTCGACATTTATTTGCAGTGTGTATTGGAAGACTTGGTTTTCGCCTGCAAATGCCACACGCTTTTATGTCGTTTTCGGAAGGGTTACTCTGCATCGTTAACGTGTACAAACTTTTCTCCAAAGACCAGGAGCGTTGTTCATAAGGTGCTTTTTGGAAGATGAAGATGAGCTCTCTGAAGCGGAGGTTGTTTCCCTCCATGGACGCTGCCGCAACGGCTAGAAGCGTGACGTTGATCCTGTTGTTTTACGGAGACCCCCAGGGAGTGCTTTCGCTTCCAAGCAGTGCCGTTGTCACCGAAAATGGTCCGTGTTTGTTGTTGCCTCAGACTGGTGACCGGCTGCCCGCTTGCCACCTGCCCAATAATAATATGGCTCGCTGCTCTCTGGTCGTTGTTGGTTGTCTTCGCAATATTTTCCTTGCTGATCTTATCCTGTTACCCCTCTTCCCTAGTCTTCAAAGGCCGAGAAACGAATTTGTGTTGTTACAAGGTTGCAAATAGACACAACGACAAAGTATCGAAGTTTCACAGTTCCTTGGAAGGAGGAAATCCCCCCACATGCGTAGAGATAAATGTGTTCCTGCGTTCCTACTATAGAACGGCAACTTGGATGACGCCATCCGTCACCCAAGGATATTCGGTCATGTCTGATTTTGAAATTCCGCCGCAGGTGTGTTGACCAATCAGCGAATTTCGTGCCACAAAAACACAAATATATGCAGTACTGTACTTGTATCGTATTTTTGTTTTGCGAACGGGATACGCCTGAGCTCATTGTAACCAAGGGCTAACTGTTCTTTTCTCCTGTCGTTGGTCGTCGCTTTGTCACAACCACAGCTGGTGCAGGTTCGCAAAGAAGGCTTGATAGGGATATCCCTACAGGGATCGAAAGAGAGATCGAGACAGATATATACAGAGAACAAGGGAGAGAGACAGAGAGAGAGACACACACAGAGGGGTTGATCCCTGGCTTGTGTAGGCAGCCGATGGAGTGGCGTATGGAACAGTGGAAAAGAGGGTGACGCCGCCGCGTTCGAGAGGGAGGTGGTGATGCATTTAGCTTTAACGAGTCGCCCGTGATACACGTCATTGCTTGCCCAGCACCCGATTGTTGCGTTCACGACATTTTTTTTGTTCTAGAAGCAGGACAGGATGTTGGTGAAGGTGGCTTGCGCTGAAAATTTTTGAGTGTCCTATCATCCGCCAAGAACCTTTGCTATCCGCGCGCCAGGCTACGGTAGACAGCTATTGTTTGATGCCACTACAATTGTCCGTTTGTCTGGCCCGCTTGGTTGATTTCTTAGGAGGTGCGGGTGACCTTTTCACCTAGTAAAATGAAGAAAGCAGGCGCGTAGGAAATTCCGGTGTTTATCTCTTACTTACGCTATTGTACAGGCACTATGCGTAGATGGTGGTACGGGTCTAGTTTCGATTGTCGGATGGATATCCAAACTGAGATAGGTGAAGGGCGTAGAGAAGGTAGATCATGGGCGGCGTCGACCGTGGTCGCTGTTCTAAGGTCCCAGGTCGATAATTACGCCGGAAGGCGAGAAGTGTGGGAAGTCGAAAAATCTTGGGACAAGGAACAAACAGGCGGTTCAGCTCTCCCCGGCCCGTCCCTGCCCGAACGACATGTACACGGTTGAGCACGAATCGCCATGTCCAAAACCAACAGTCAAGTAGACTTGACCTTGAATGCTTCCCGATCTGATGAGCGGATTTTAGCGAAATCCACGCCTTTTGCTTCATGTACTAGCCGAAGTGACCAAAAACCTTAGTGCACACAAGCCATCCGAGTTCTGTAGTCTTTCCTTCTAACATGCAACACGGAAGTTCCAGGCCTTCTTTACCGATTCTTCGTCGAGATGGCAACCATGTCACAGCCCGTCCAGGCCCCACGCCCGCCTAAAACACTCCACGGCTGCTGCATCACCATCGTCGGCCTCCTCCCCTTCTCCCCCTGCTGCGCCGGCACTGCTGCAGACGCCGTCTGTCATACGATAGTCTTGACGGCCGCTGCCGTCCACTTCCCAATCGCCCCCGCTACGCGTACCATCTTTCCTTGAATGTCCACCAGCAGTGGCCGCCGTCCCGGTAGGTTCTTGGGGAGCTTGGCCCACCGCAAAGCGGCCCCAAGGCTCGACGCCGCCCGCGTGATTTGCGTTTCTGCTACTGTTGCTGTCTCGGAAAGCCCACGCGCGCCCCCGTTTGGTGGACGCTATACCGATGATTCGGGCGCAAGCCTCAACCTGCAGGTTCGCGAGTCGGTTGTTTGCAAACCTCACGTGTTTGAAGGGGTTTGTGAGGGCGATAGGGGGTTGTTGGGGTCATGGCGGGGGCAGGCGATATTTGGGAAAAAAATGGGGAGTTGGTGATAGAGGGCGAAAACGGTCATCTCGTGGGCCGACAGGTGACGCATGAAAATTTCCCACCGTATACTGTAGGCCGGAGGGAATGTGACAACTTCCTAGAACATCACCACCTACATCGCGAATTGCGATAAAACGAGCAACGTCTCACCTGAAGTACGCCAAGAAGCTCGCGTCCTGTTTCATGTCGGCCTCTATGCCTATAGCAGCCACACCCAACCGGTTGCCGTCAGCATCATCGTTGCCTTCACGACTGCCGCCAACAGCGATCGCGCCATCAACCGAAGAATCCAGCTCCCCGGGGTCCTTCACAGTCGGCTCATCAACGGGATCAGAAAGGCGCCGTTCAATGATTTGCAGTGTTTGCACCTTGACACGGAGTGCATCTGTGAAGGGGCACCCTGCCGCCGATGGTAGAGGTGGCAAAAATCCCATGCAGACCAGGTAGCGCTCACCGCTGGCGGGACGGCTGCATCACGGGAACCACGAATCGGCGGAATCGGCGAGGGGGAAAAATGAAAACACTCTTGGCGGCCAAGAAAACACTCTCCTCTTGTTCGTTTTATGGCTGACGTCGCCACTGTTAACCCTTACGTGACTGGGTTAGTTTGATTTTCTTTTTCCCACACTCTCTGCAGTCAAAGACCTTCCATGCATGCGTGTACATCCACAAATGACGGCGGCAAGGATGGTGCAGCAGTGAGTCCATGTGTGGGGCTGACAGGGATGGGGACGCGCTTCATATAAGGGTGAAAAACAGGAGTACAGCAGTAGCACTGCTGCTGTACAAGCTGGGCCAGCCAAGTTGCATGCAAAATGGTTGATAACGATTTACACCACGATTCCTACGAATTTAGAACCTGAAATGGTGACATGTGGTCGGCAATAGGACAACCAAGACCTTGACTGGAAACACCCTTATTTTTTTTTCAAGAGGTATCCCTAGTATAGGACAAATGGTGATCCTTTTTTTGTGTATAGGGGGGCTAAAAAAAAAAGTGCTTCCAGTCAAGGTCTTGGTTGTACTTATACCGACCACATGTCAAAACTTTAGATTACAACTCGTAAAAGTCGTGATGTAAAAACAATAAAAAGTTTTGGCTCGACACCTGGGTGCAGGGGCGAAAGTATACATAGGAAAATGAAGGGCTCACAGCCATCGAAACGGTTGCGAAAGTGAACTGATGGCAACAGGGCCACACACGCCGACTCTATCCCCGTAGAGGAGGGGCACGGTTGCCATGATGACGTGATATTACAGAACAAGGTTGAAATCTGAGGTCAACCCTGCAAATTGCATCAATTGTAGTCAATGAAGTATAATTTATTGTACACAAACTTGGCGTTTCGTTGTACAATGTACAGCTTGGCTCCTTTCCGTGTTGTGAAGTTCAGCCAAAGCCGCCACCTGCCTTTACTCTAATCTAGATAGTAATATGGAACAGAGGTCTTCTGCCACCCCTTGGTTTTGAGTGCTGCAAGGGCGGGCTTCATGCTGTCCGCTCTCGGTGCCAGCAGCAGATGCTGTGTGTGCGCATCCGTTGTGCACCATTTTTTTCAAAAAGTCTTAGTTCCGCCACAAAAAAACGTTTCAGCTTTATTTTTTTGCTTCTCTTAAACCTATATGAAATGCGGAGAGTTTTCTTCGTTTGAGAAAACGTGTACACAGGGTTCTTGAGAGACAGCTGCACATCCGCTGTGATTGGCTGATTTAGCAGATATGCCAAGCTCGTTCCAATTCTGATTCCTTCACGAGATATGGCTGGACGACCGAATGTTCGCGCCTTGGCTGGCCCAGCTTGTACAGCAGTAGCAGTTATGCGGTGAGAAATATAGACTACAGCAGCATTAGTTTCTGAGGAGGTGTGCATGCCTGTCTCCGACAGCAACCATCCGCACAGAGGACATAGAGGACATATATGTACCTGTGCAAGCAATACCTATTGGTACATCTTCTCCACCTCATCCTTGTGGACAGAGCATACGGCAAGCGCAAATGCTAGCGGCGCTAGATGCGAAGAGCTGACGGGAAACCGCCTTACAAAAGCGCCAGATTCACGAAAAGAAACGGCCTACTCATGAGAGAATCGAGACCCCCATCCACTATTGCACAAAATGCATAAAAATCGTGACAAGTTTTACAATTCTGTACTGCAAATAGAGGTGTGATCGGAGGCGTAGTCGTGAAAACCCTAGCCTTTGAGCAACTTTGAGCGGAATTTTGCACACAGCAGACGAACCACCCTTCCCTCCCACTACTGGGAACCACACGCACCGCAATCACAACAACATCAAGCACCGAGGCAATACGTTAGCATCGGCTCCGGTTTGCGGTTTGTCTGCTCTCCCCCGCGGATGCGTCACCGGGTTGATCACATGTTTGGGTGCTGTATGTACCCTCCCGCGGTATTTTGCGTTTGAACTTTACAGCAGTAGTACCGGTAGGCAATAGATTGGATCTGGAAAGGATACCTGCCCCGCATCAGAGAGACAATAGGCATGGGTGAATAGTATTGTACTGTGTGTGTCCTGTGCGCATTGCTGAGAAGTATGCTTTTGGGGTGGGCTGCCTCTGTGTCCACCTGCTGTTCTCTACGTATGCTTTCGCTCGTAGGCGAGGCACAACGGCGATCTTTCGGCACGCAAAGTGATCGAAGCTGAGATAGGCGCTGATTCGGCCTGTAGTCATGTAAGGGTTAATGGCCTGATGGATTGTCTGTTGGAGGAGGCAACGCGACAAGTGTACCAAGTGCTGAAATGGGCCGAAGAGCGACCCACCTTGTGATGGGCTTGACGATTGCGATTCGTCGGAACTTGCGGTGCAGTAGGTACAGAAGTGCAGCCGTCGATTCCGTCCAGCACTCGAACAGCTTGCAAACAAACGACCCCTCTTCCCGAAGCAATAGCAGTGCCGTCAAAGCCTAACAAATAGAGTCCATTTGTGCGAAACCACGTGAAATCAACTGGTAATGCAGTATATTCTCCAGTCTGCGATCCAAGTTTCGGGAAATTTTGGTTCAATGCAATGCTGCATGGCGCTCAGCCAAAGTAAAATGGGGAGTATAGAGCAGTACAAAAACTTGTCGTTTCGTGTAAGGACATTTGGGTTGGCAACACGGACCGCCAACACAGAAGAAGGGAAAAAGGACGACAGACACAAGGGCCTCAGGAAGACATATCAACCGTTCCCTCCATCTCTCGCTCGACAGCCAAGTCATAATGGCGTACCTCAGCGTGCACGAGCGGCGACAGCAACCCCTCTTGCTGCAAGGCATCCCTTGCCGCCCCGAACCCACCGTCCGCCACGACCAAGTCAAGGTATTGCCCCCCTGTCGACGCCACGATAGCTTCCACGAACCCTTGGATGTTGGCCACGTCGGTCAAGTCTCCCGTTCCGTTCGGGCCGTAGTCTATATTCATCTCCAGCAAGGCGGGCCCTGCGGCCGTGGTAGTTGTTGCATGCTTATGTCCGTCGTCTCCACCTGAAACCGTGGTACGTGTGAGAGGCGTTTCATCTCCCGTTCCTGCCGTCGAAACCGCCACACGGCACCAGGGTTTCAGGTGGTCCAACCGCCATGCACAAGGGTCCTCCACCTCCTTTTTCTTGGTTCGGCGAGATTCACTCTGTTCTTCACCCCCGCGCGATGGACCCTCTTGCACGCTGCTATCACCTTTCCTCGTGCTAGGGTCCCCGTTTTGTTCATCTTTTGGAAGCGCAGAGATGCGGCAGTGGTCTTTGCCATCGTTGACGCCCACCTTCATAGTCGACGGACTACCGTGAACCCGAACTGCATCGTCATCATTATTGTTGCCTCTGTCGCTCTTATCGCCCACCCGTAGGAGTGAAATGCCCCACCCCCGCGCGGGCAGACCAAGCTTCCGCCGCCTTCGCAGCAAGTACTCCGAGAAACCTCCGGGACCTCCGCACAAATCGGCGAACAGCAATGGCGGTGCTGCCGGTAGACTTGGGTGTGGTGTCTTGGGTTGCTGCGGTTCAACGTGGCATCCTTTGTCAAGCGCCGCCGGTTTGCCTTCCTCTCCGAGGCCCTGCTCATGGGAACCCCCACATGGAAGCGTTAGTAGTCCGCCGACGATGGCGTCGATGTTGGCGAGCTTCATGGCGGAGCGGTTGAGGAACGAACCTCTACCAAGAGCCTCCGCAGGGTTGCAGGCGCTTCGCGCGCGCTTGAACACCGCTGCGGGTATCTCGTCGAAATCCCGTTTCACACTCGAAAGCTGCTCGTGCAGACATACCTCACGAGCGCCGAATAGCACGTTTGATGAGGTTTCGCTCTCCGCCTGCAGCCCACCGCCCCTGTGGCGACGTGCGGGGACCCTTGGTTCGGGAGCTAGCGTTGCTTCCGCTGCCAAGCGTTGCAAGGGCGTCGAGTCACAACATTCCTGGGTCTCTGGCACGCATTCTATGCTTCCATCATGGGTCATACAACCAGAAGACGGATGACCTTGAGAAGAAGTGTTTATCAGCCATGCCACCCCGCCTTCATCGATCTCGACGTTCACCCCTACGCTCAGCGCCGGCGGAAGATCAGCGATGTCTGCTTCGCTCACCCGTCCCCACACGCCCTGTACCACCGCCGTTGGCGCTGTGCTTTCGTCGGCACCATCACCACTGGCAGGTTTGACTTTGCCACCATGTCTGCCAACTACCAGAGAGGCAAGATCGCTGTTAGGGCAGGCGCCGAAGGGGTAAGACGGTGTACTACTAGCCTGTAGCCGCGCTGCACATGTCTTGCTTTCCAGCTCCCGCGGGCGTTTCCGGCTAGGCCTACCCATCATGCAGGCTGATGCGTCGGCACCGCTCTTGCCAGCAGTATCACCACGCTGACGAACTTGGGAGGTTGCGTGTGTCACAGAGTGGTCCGGTATGTGGACACGATCGTGTGTTGCGTAAGTGAAGACAGCGGGGCTAACCCCTGGGAAGCTCTTGTACTTCGTACAGGGTGTACAGTAGTGGTTCAAACCTCACCGCTGTACTCTTCTGCAGCTGCCGACTCCCAGCATCCCAGAGTCACAACACCACGGCGGTAACACAGCGGTCGAAGGTCACAGCACAGCGTCACAGCCAGCGGTACAGCAGGAGAGTGGAGCGTGCGGCAGTGCGTAAAGTTTTGGGAATTGGGCGACCGAGCGACCGGGCGACCTGGCCGCTAGGAACCAGGGGTTCGAACCAGAAATTCAAGGTGGAAACCCAGGGGACAGAAAGGTTCGTCCCCGTGCCGCTGGGTTCCAGTGTCGCAGTCCACCCGACGCAGCGTCACAGCAGTCGTGCGTTTGCCTTTGCCTTTGCCTTTGCCTCTCTTCCCGGGTAGTGATGGTAGCAGGCAGTAGAGTGCTTCGTCTGGCAGCCGCTGCTGCAACGGCGGCTGTGGCAACATGCTTCGCGTGCCCTGCAAGTACCAGCCACAGCGGTGCAGCTACTGCCCCGCACAGCTCAACCACTTCCGCTGATAACATGATGGCAACTCCGCGACCCGTACCGCCAGCAGCAGCTTTAGCAACTAGAGGGTGGGGTGCTCCCGATGTCGGCAACTGCAGGAGATCGGCGAGTCGATCGTTGATGCTGGCGCGAGCGATGGCATCGACTCAGGAAGAGTCTGCGTTGCGCACGCGCGGCGGTGGGGGTGGTGATCTGGGCGATGCTGACACAGGCCTTTCCGAGACTGACCCGGAAGTTTGGGAGATCATCACCGCGGAGCGGAGGCGACAGGTGGGCGGTGTGATTCTCACGTACAGTCGACAAAGCAAAGAATAGGCACAATAATTGATTGGGCGAGATCTCCGGGCGTGCTCTTTATTCGATTAATCGACAGAAACTTCTTCAGATACCGCAGTAGTTTTGGCCGTGTCGGTTGGGAACCGAGTTGGTCTATTCGGCCCAACAGCCTATCCACGGCGCGCGGCGAGGGAAAGGGAAGCTAGGGGTCAGGGGACCACTACAACATGGACCAAGTGTTTTATCTCTCTCTCTCTCTCTCTAACCGTTTGTACGCAATACATATTGTGTGTGGGCTGGCCGGTCCAGCACCTGTGGGGATAACATCTGGGAGTGGCGTGTGTTAACACACTCGTGCGGGCTGTGATTGATCGTTGTATATACAGCAGTAGTTGCCCCCTCCTGTGAAGCAACGTCTATTGCGGGTGGAGGCTCAATCTCTTGCTCAGGCTCGAAAAACCAGCCTTATCTTGTTGATTCCGCAATCGAAGTTCCTTACCTTGGCGCCTGTCAGATTCTGTAGGTTTTGATAATGGTCGCTTTCCTCTCAGTGGTGCTTGTTTAAGATGGCCCCGCCCGTCGTCCTAGAAGCACGATCACTTCTGGATGGACTAGTATAAACTACATATGTAGTCAACCGCTGACTGGTAGTCCCACTGACTGGTAGTCCAGTGGTCATCGTGCTTGAATAAAAGCTAATTGGCTGACTGGTAGCCCAGTGGTAATCGTGCTTCGACAATCCTCGTCGCCCCTGTCTCCTTCTGCCGCCGCCGCCGCCGCCGCCGTCTCGATCTCCCATTGATTGTTGCGGTCTGACTAGTCCTCCTGCTGTTGCATTGACCCTGTCTATTGTTCTCGGTTGTTTGTGCCTTTCTCTGCTGCCATGGGCGGGTGCGCGACGCAACACGACGATGCGCCTCGACGATGAGAAAAAAAAGGTGTGCAGCATCGAGCTGATCGCGAGCGAGAACTTCGCCTCCGTGGGGGTGCTGGAAGCTCTCGGTTCGATCATGACCAACAAGTGAGAGAGAGAGAGAGAGAGACAGAGAGACAGAGACAGAGACAGAGACAGAGACAGAGAGAAAAAGAGCTGAGAGGACGGAATACCTTGCGATAGACCTCGTTTTTTGGAAACTTTTGTGTCTAGGGCGCTGTCTGCCCTGTTTTATTGTTGATGGTAACGTGGTATTCACATAGGTAGGCATTCGGCGCGGCAGATAGGAGCATGGGATGGGACGAGGGGGGCGGGAGGGGGGAGGGGAGTGTACTCACATAGTCGTGCATGCCGTAGTCGTTCGACCATTGACCTCGCATCCCTACAAAGCCGGGACGGAGCACGCCGGGTTCTCACCGGACCAGGCTCTCACTTCACTACATAAACGCGAAGCGCCGTGAAGTATTCGGCGAGTCGCAAGAAGGTGCGCTGCATCCTGCTTCGGGTGTTCGGCATCTTGTGCTTGCTTCCTTGCATATGGATGACAGCTGCGTATGACTCAATTTTTTGTTTTCTGGTGCCTTCACTTCCAGACAGTTGTAAGCACTGTGTAACTGCCTCGAGGGTGCTTGACCAAATTAACACAACGTGGTGCGATTATCTCCCTTGCGCGGAGTGAGGGTTCTCGACCCCGCACAACATGATCGACTCGACCACCATTCATGGTTACCGCAAAAAAATAACCCAAAGGCAAAAAAAAAGTGGTAACCTGGTTGCCGAGCTCACGAACTGATCAGCTTGTTTTACAACATCGCTGCCAAGCGACGAAAACCCAACCCCGATGGCAAACACCGGAGGCGGGGGCCGGAGGTGGGGGG